CTTTTATTATTGGGTTTTTGGTTTTCTTTTTTTTTAATTGTATGACTTCAGATCTTAGATATTAGCTCTTAGTTCAGATGTCTGATAAATTTTCTCCCTCTCAGTAGTGTGCAGAACTACTTTTGCTGTGTAGAAGCTTTTTAGTAGAAGCTGTTTGCTGAGTTTTGCTTTTGTTTCCCTTGGAGCAGGAATCTATAGTTTCCAAAAACCTCACTGAGGTCAGTGTCATGTGTACCTTACAATTTCAGGTCTTACATCTAAATCTCTTATGCATTTTAAGTTAATTTTTATATGTGTTATATGATAGTGGACTAGTTTCATTATTCTGCATGTGGTTTCCCCAAACCACTTTTTGAAGAGCTGTTCCTTGATCCAGTGTATACTCTTACCTTTATCATATATTAGTTTTTTAGAGAAATGTGGGTTTATCACCGGGCTCTCAATTCTATTCCATTGTTCTGTGCCGTCTTGTTTTTTTATTTTTTTAAAGATTTATTTATTTGCATACAGAGCTGGGGTACAGGCCAGAGGAGTAGGGGCAGTGAGAGGATTCACCAGAGACAGAGTGGCAAGCAGAACAGGCAGATCGACTGAGTACACTGCTGAGGGGAGCAGGGGGCGGGTCAGGAGAGGTCTGCCACGCCATGTGGTCACTTCCAGGGCAGGCAGGGATCGAACTCATGCAGAAGTGGCTTTAGCTTCTCAGTGCTCTTCTTTAACCCGCTGTGCCACCAGGGAGGGCCTCTGTGTGTCTTGTTTTAATCTAATGCTTATGGTTTTGATCACTCTAACTTTATAGATTGAAAAGTTTGGGAGAGTGATACCTCCATTTATACTCTCTTTGTTGTCAGAATTTATTTTGGCTATTGGGGTTCTTTTGTGACTTCATATAAATTTCAAAACATTTGCTTCATTGCTTTGAAAAATGTTATTGGAATTTTGATAGGAATTGCATTGAATCTGTATATTTCTTTCAGTAACGTTAACTCTTCCAATCTATAAGCAGGGCATATTTTTTCATTTTCTATGTCCTCTATTTTTTTAACAATGTCTTATAATATTCATTGTACAAATATTTCACCTCTTTTGTTAAGTTTACTTCTAGACATTTAATTCTTTTTACTGCAAATGGGATTTTTTACTTGATTTCTTTCTCTTCTAGCTCACTTTTGAATATAGGAACACACTGAGTTTTGCATGTTGATTTTCGAACCTGCTATTTTACAGTATTGATATATTATTTGTGATTGTTTTTATTTTTCCTTTAGTGGAGTCTTAGCTATTTCCTTGTTAATTATCATGATATCTGCAAAAAGCAATAGTCTTAGCCCTCCCTGGTGGCTCAGCGGGTTAAAGCACAGCACAGAGAAGCTTAAGCCACTTCCTCATGAGTTCGATCCCCATCTGCCCTGGAGGAGATCCACATGGCGAGGCAGACCTCTCCTGACCTGCCTGCTGCTACCCTCAGCAGTGTACTTCGTCAATCTGCCTGTTCTGTACCCCACTCTGTCTCTGGTGAATGCTCTCACCCTCCGTATCTCTGGCCTGTACCCCAGTTCTGTACAAATAAATAAATAAATCTTAAAAAAAAAAAAAAAGCAATAGTCTTACTTCTTTCCAATTTGATTTATTCCAATTCTCATGCCTTACTGCCTAGCTAGGTCTTCCAATATTATGCTGAATAGTAGTGGGAGACCAAGTTTCTTAAAGAGAGACTTTTAGCCATCAAACAGTTGATTTAAAGCTCTCATTCTAAAAACATGCACTTGATTACTCTTTTATATGCTGGGCAATTTTAAAATTCTGGATATCATAAATGTTAGTTTGTAAAGATTCTAGATTCAGTTATTATTCTAAGATGAGCATGGTCTGTTTTCTTTAGAAGGAGGCAATTATCTTTGTTGAACTATGTACTGTTTGTCAGACAGCAGCTCCAGTTTCATTCAGACCTTCTTTCATTAAGATGCTTTCTGTCTGTTAAGGTATAACAGTGATCCAGAGTTTTAGGTAGAGGTTGGGTAATACAGTTAGCAGCCTTCCCAATGCCATCTGGATAGCTACCCTGCTATAATTCCTTGACTACTGCACTTAGCCCCAAGCTAAAAGCATGCTCTCCTGAAGCTCATAGCTCCCTTACTCTCCTGAAATATAGTTTGCCTGCTCTTCCTGTCCAGAGACAGTTGCTTTCAGCATTAGGTACAGATTTTATAGCAGTCTTTTTGTAGGGAGTCACATGGAGGTAGGTTCTTCCTCCAATATTACCAGAAGCATAGGTCCCCTAAAGGTTTTTATATGAGACATTAGCATGAAAAGATTTACTTTATAAAAATGCACTGGCTGCTATAAGAAGAGCCCTAAGGTATCTACAGATTTAAGGAGATCAATAAGGAGAATCTATTAGCCTAGGAAATAAAGATCATTTGGAGAAAATAAAGTATCTTGTGCACCTTGGCAATAAAGATTTTATTGAAAAATATCTGATAAATTTTTAGGATTTTCTACTAAGATATCCAAATTCCATTCATTATCTGTTGGCATTATAAACTGCTAAATATCAAGTCAACTAACACTGAAATGTGAGTCATTTGTAGTCACCTACAATCAAATTTTTAGAGAATATGATTTTACATTTTTCAATAGCTTGTTCATCGTTTTATACTCATATTGCCTTTAATCTCTGTGGGATCAAAAGAAGGATGGGCGTGCTTGTCCCAACTTTATTATGTTATTGTTTATGTTGACTTATTATTTCTCAAGATTGTCAGGTAAAGATGATGAATGCTTTTCCCACAATCAAAAGTATGATGATACTCTTTCTTTCATTAAATTATGGGGGATTACTAACTCAAGGAGTACCCACTTGATGTTTCCCTAGGTGAACAACATTATTTGTGTTATTGATATGCTCATATCAATCTGCAATTTAATGAGGTAGTCTTACTATAATATACAATCAAAAACTACAGAAATCGCTCTGATTCTTGATGGAAGTATTGTTAAAATGCATTAGTTCAATTTGTGAAAATTCATCAATCACTTGTGACATATACTTGTCGTAAATGTTATACTTCAAATAAAACAACTTAAATCTGTGAAAACTCAAATATATGTCTATTATGCCCCCTTCTCTAAAATGCCAAAAAAATGCAGGTTTTTTTTAAAGGCTAGCTTATCTTCAGTTATCCAATAGAACTCTCTCTATTCACTTTATGATCAGAGAAGTAATATGTATTGATTTTGCAAAAATTCAAACATGAAGAATAAAAACAAAAGTCATCTATTATAATTTTATCCCTTAGATACAGCACACTTTAGAATTTAATTTCAGAGGTTTATACCTCCACATTACCATATTACTAATAAATTGTCCTTTTCCAGACATTGGGCATGTCACTTGTACCAAGAGTTCTCAAAAATAAATATTATAGTCTGTCTGCTCTTTCTGTCCAGAGAGACAGTTGCTTTGAGCATTAGGTACAGATATTATAGCAGTCTTTTTTTCAGGGAGTCAGATGGAGGTAGGTTCTTCCTCCAATATTACCAAAACGATATACTGTTTTATGGCCGTTATCTATTGTTTAGGATACTATAAAATACCTGTAACTGAATTAAACATGTCTGAGCACAGCAATTTTTAAAAACTAAGTTTTTAATGTTGAAACACTAAATTTTGAACATTTAAATTTTTAAGTTTCTATTATGTCTTGCACAAAATTCAGAGTTCTTTTTCTATCCTCTATTGTTTATCACAATGCAAACCAAAAAGCTGATGTATGATGATGCAAATAAGTTAATTCTCTAAGAGACTTAATTAATTCTCTAAGAGACAAATATTGCATGATTTCATTAGGTATTAAGTATGGGAAAACAAAACCAAGAGACAAACTAAACAAAAACAAATCTTAGAATTCTAACTGTTGAACTGAGGGTTACCAAAGCGGTAGAGTGGAGGGGAATAAAGATGGGAAGTGGGGAGACAATTGGCTTTGGTACAAAATTATGGTGTCTTGGTGGTAGGTGTGATATTGTAAGCCACATATGAAGAGATGTAAATCTATACCTCTGAATCATACACTGTGTTGCAACTAATGTTACCCAATAAATAAATATACAATAATACTACAATAATAAAATTAATTCTCTAGAAGAAATGGGAATAGTCACTTTCTGATGATACAGTAATGTCTTTATTTCAATTTTTTAGAAGTCATATCATCTTCTGAGAAGGCTTTCTAGTTATTTTCTTTATCTATGTATTTATTTTTTGCTACTCCCTTACATTCTGAGAGTTTGCTCCTAACCACTCCTTTTCTTATTAAGGTAGAAGCTTCTTGTATAAAAGAGTTACTAAATTCAATTCTTAGATTGCAACATCTTAATATCATTTTCCCCACATTTTTGCATAGAATAGAAAAAATATATCCTGACTTTTCCGACAACCCTACAGTAAAAGATAAATGCTTAGCAAGAAAAACAGTTTCAAAAGAAATCAAGTTTATATTAATCCACATACCTGATGATTCACAAAGCATCACCCAACTATGCAGGTTTAAAGATAAAAATGAATGAACTACAAATATTTCAGTATCACTACATAAGTAATGTCACCTTTACTAAAAAAAAAAAAAAGCCTCATCAATAGCTTATATGCTACAAAGAGAGGATTAGAGAATGTGCTTTATCCCTTACAGTGCTGTTAGAAAATAACTACAAATGAACAACTATATAGATTTTGAAACTATTTCAACAATGGGGCCAATAAACTAACTTTCTTGAACCAAAAAAGTATCCCTTTAATTCATCAAATTAGCATAATCTCAAAATTTTTAAATATTTTATTGAAATTTAAGATCAGCACTTAAAATTTCAGATGACACCAGTATTTTAAGTAAATTACCCAAATACTTTAAAGAATTCTCTTTGTGTCAAAACATCTTGCTTTAAGAAAAGCTATTCCTAAATACATCATTATATAGATGTTATTTTATCTAGTTACTTACTGAGAGCCATGCAAGGGATTCCATGATTCGATGTTCACATCGTTCTAAATGTTTTATCATCTCTCTGGTCAAGTTGGCTTCTGCTTTAATAAAACTTTCAATCACTTTATAAAAATCAAAGGCTTTTAAATTAAGTACATTCAGAATCCATGGGAAGGACAAATCTGTTCCAGTATCAAGATTCTGTGATGTACTTCCTAAAAATGAGGAAAAAAAAAAAAACATAAATATAACTTACGTATGAAATGTTAAGCCTTGAACTACTTATTTTTACTTTGGAAAGTTTTTATCAGACCAAAAATTATAAAACAACAGAAAGCTTAAACAAGTTTTCCTTTAGAGGAGATATTTTATTCTGGAGTCCATAGACTCATAGGAAATGTCAAATTTATTTAAGTGCTTACATGCATACAGTTCATACCATATATCAAATTTTTAAAGATGTAAATACCTTAAATTTATATCAAGACAATTCACTAGTATATCCATTTAATTGTCTCTTTATTTTTGGTGTGGAAGGGAAGGATTCCTTAATAATTGCTGATTTGAGTAGTTAGGAAACTATTTTAAATGTATATTTCTTGTTACTAAGGATTTATTCTTCTAAATTTGTTTAATAAGTTTTTCTTATTAATTTTATATTTGTATTCCTATATATTTGCTTTGCAAAATTTTTTTTTGTAAAAAGTCTTACATTTGCAAAAAATACATGTGCTAAATAATATATTTTCAAAAATCATTAACAGAGGTCTCTTCTGTGTATGTGGTAGATTCTACCTCCAATTTTTGGTCTCATTCTTATAAAATGTATAGCAACATTTCCACACCAGTATTAGGGTGACTGCTCCCTAATAGGGAGGTCTATGAAAGGATTTTGGTAGGTCTATGAAAGGATTTCAATAGATATAATTCCTAAATATGGTGTAGTATAGAACAGTGAAACACTACCCCTAATATGACATGAAATAATTCAGATAACAAGACACTTATCTGAAAAGTCACTTACATAAATTTATGTAATGACCAATACATTCTTGAGGATATATCAAATATACATTTTTCCTTGATTCTATTCCTCTCGCCCCCAACAACACAACACACTTTAGGTAACTATTTTTTTTTTTTTGTACATTTTTCTTTTCCCATCTCAACTGTAATCCCCACGGGTTTCCATCGAGGTAACTATTTTTAACTTTAGATTGGACTGAACGGTTTATTTACTGAAGTTCAACTTACTGCTATATGTAGCCATTACAACCTCGAGAGCACACGCCAATAAAGACATATGAAAGATGTTGTCATTCAGCAGTTTGCTAAAGAAAAAAAAAATGATTCTGAGACATTTACTGTTATAAAAAGGAAAATTTTTTTACTAATACTAAAAAAATTTACCTAAAATTTTGAATGGATAATCGTTCTTCTTCCTGAAACAAATAAAAAATACTTAACTGAAGCTTTTGTGTATCAGCATTAACTGTTTTTTTCTACTACATTCTTTGTAACTTACGGATTTAAGCATGGATTCCATTACTCGGTAATACAATCGCACTCCAAGTTTGTATCGCTAAGAACAAAGAAAAATAAATAAGATCCCACTCTTTTATAAAAATCACAATCATTATTAGTTTTTAGAAAGCCTTCTCTTTAAATAAATCTCAGATCTTATTTGGAATATGACAACCAAGAGGTTACAAAAGCTAGCTTGCCTAAAACTCTTGCTTAACACTACCAATAAATATCAAGAGGATAGGTATGGTACCTGGCTTCCTTCATTCTATTCGAAAATACATCATTATATGCACACACACATACACACAGGATATACCTGGTACTATTGTAAACACTTTACATATCTAGTAGTTTTGTTGTGACCCAGGACATTTATTTCCAAGATAGCTATGAAAATTAATTATAATAGTATCTATCTGTAAAACCAGCACAGAAAGAAAATCAGACCCACCTGATCTTAACAGCAAAATGTCTTACCCAACAATTATGTTCCATTAGTTGAGAGAATAAACAAATTTTAGAGATAAACACACAATCACATACAAACTATATTCCTTCATGCAAAATTACAAGTGCAAATTTCATAAATTCAAAAAAGAACTTTTATATGACTGTTTACATCAAAAAATAAAACCTCTCTACACTGAAAGATGTATAGAAGATTATAGTATAAAGTTTTTCAAATAAAGTTTATCATAAATAGCAGCATACACAGGCAACTGGAATAGAGTTTATATGCCAATATGTTTTACTACTAGACAAATACTAAAATACTATGTATACAATTTGAACAGATGTTGCATTCGAAATTATTTATTATAAAGTGGCACTACTCAAAATGAACTCAAGTTACCTGAGATCCAATTTCCACACAACCCTGTCCCACAGCTTCAGCAAATTTCTCTTTAAAGATGTATCCAATATCCTTCACTCTTTTCAGGATGCTTTCTTTTGGATTCACTGTGCAGTTCTTTAAGAAGGAAACAGAAATTAATGTTGAAGGACACTGTTTAATATCATTAACATTTTCTGCTCTATAATGTATATACTTTACAGTTTCAGTTGTTTAGATTACAAAAGCATTTCCACAATAACTAGGTATACAAATCTATTGGAAATAAGCAAAAAATAGAATTCCAGTTTTGGGTGTTTGTAAACAAAACACTAGAGCACAAATGAAAAAGGCGATCTAAATTTTTGCTTTATTTGCTTTATTCCTTTAATTAAATAAAAGTCTCATAAACCCTATAAAATATCTTCAATTAAAAGTTACATTAGAATGCATGCTATCCCAAAAAAAGCAAATGATGAAGGATTTATATTGGTTATCATTTTAAACTTCAGAAGAGTTGGAATGACCTAAATAACTTAGCTACATTTTTTAAAACACATGATAGAAATGGTTACAAGTCTAATATATGTATCATGTGGGGTATATGTACCAAATTTAATAATAAAAACATACTACAAGACAATTGATAGAATGCATATTAGGGGCCTCTGGTGGTGCAAGGAGTTAAAAACGGTTCAGTACTATGAAGCTATCTATAGCCACTTCAGCACCAGTTCAATCCCCAGCCAGGGAGTTACCCACATGGAACTCCTATCTTGTTACCCACAGACCTCTCCAGTCTTGCCTGCTGCTCCCCTCAGCATATTTCAGTCAATCTGCCTGTTCTGCTCCCCACTCTGTCTCTGGTCAATCTCTCACACCTGTACCCCAATCCTCTAGCCTGTACCCCAGTTTCTGTATGCGTAAACAAACCTATCTTTAAAAAATAAGACATATGAGTACAGACAGGTTATTATTCTTTTAATATTTATTATTATATCTTCTAAAAGTTTTAAGTGCTAGCTAGCTATGTTTGGGAAATATTCTTGCACTATAAATAGCCAATAAAGAAAAGCAACTTTATGCAAGTTGATCCTATATATTATCAATTTTGAGTGAACATAATTGTGAATATGATGGCAGAAATTACTTTAATAATATTTGGGGGGATGTAATAAAAAAGATGGCAACAGAACATGATAAAAATCACAAGCATTAAAATAAATGTTAACTACAGAAAGCACATAGTTTACTTGAATAAGGCAAAATTTAGTTAAGTTTTCTGGCCTTATCCAATTCCCCAGAATGAACATTTCAGTAGGTCCCAACCCTCGCCTATATTTAAATAAGGCGTTATAGAAGCAAGCAAATAATACAGATGCTAGTTTTTGTTCTTTCTCTTCTGCTTTCTTGTTGAGAGGGGAAGAGGGTAGCAGTGGCCCTTCAAAAACTAAATTCATGGTCTATCTGAAGTTAAAAACTGCAATGTGGAGAGACACAGGCAAGAATGAAAATGGTTGAACATAGAATAAAAAAAGACATCATATATCTGACAAATATTAAAGCTATTAAGACAATAAAGCAAAACAAAAGTCCTGTAAATTTATTTCAAATTCACACTCTCTAAAGGAATTATTAAAAGATGTATCTGAGGAAAGAAAATAATCTTAAAAACAAGGTTTAAGTTGCAAGAAAGGTGAGCAAAGTAAACAGCAAGCATGAGAAAACTTAAAATTAACACTAAATAAAACAATACTGCTACTATTATCTAATTTGGATGGCTTAAAAAAATAAGAAACAACTATATGTATATTGTATATTGGTTGGGATATGCAAAATGCTCTGAATTTGAACTTTCAATTTCAAATTTCTGTGCTAATATAAAATAAATGTTTCATGTAAGGCTTACATTAAAATAGGAAATGAGATTTTCTGATGGTTGGTCACTTGCTGAGTTTAAGATCATCATTAATTGTTGTATAGTATTCATAACAGTCCTAGAGGGAAAAAATAAGAAGCCATGTTAGGAAATAAGAGAAAAAAATGAACTGCATTTATCTCACAAATAAAACATATCTTCAAACTCACTATCTGCACTATCTAAAAATAAGATACTCTCTGAAATAAGATACTACAAAATAGTGTACTGCCTTTTACAAGGAATTACATTTTGATTATTATCTTCAAGAAAGGATATGTATGTAATCAGCAAGTTTATAATAATAGTGCTAGTACACTTATTAAAACTACATAACAATAAAATATTAATTGGCGAAACTAAGGACAGTATCTTAAAGAGAAAATATATAAACTGCCTCAAAATGATAATCTCTTAAGAAAATGTTATATTATTTAATATTAATTTTTCTCCAAATAAATACGGGAAGACACTTAGTAACTCAAGTAAAATAACAAACTTCTTTATATAGATCTTCAAAAAGCACCGATAATCTCAGAAGTCACCATTGTAATGGAGTATTATATCATACAAATACCTCTCTTAAGATACTGTTATAATTCTGGGTGTGCATGTACACACAGTATGTAGTAAATTTTAATTATCTAATTTTGAAGCAGTAGTCGGACTACTGTAGGTATGTTTTAATGATGCAAATAACTGTAGAATGTATGACTAAAAGGATACCTAAATATTATATAGGAAAATATGTCAAACAGTCAAGCTGAGAACTGTTTTCTACATTTCTTTACCTTTTAAATACACTGCTTCTATAATTTGTTATGTTCTTTAATCCACTTAAATAAGCCACATTGACTTAAACCACAAAAGTCCTTACATACTTATTCCAATACTTGGCTTCCTTGAAACATTTGATACAAACACTTGCTCTTCCCTTAAATTCTTTCCCGATCTTGCCTTTTTTGGGGCTGCATTCTGGGCTCCCAAATATGTCTCCTGTTCTCTTTAACTTTAATCTAGTTTTCAAATTCTAGTATTCATTAGGGCTCTGTTCTAAGCCACCTATTCCTAGTACATACTCTTTACTTCGTTTTGTTAATTGGTGATTCCTAAATCTATAAGGTCCCTCTATTCTATAACTTACTATTTATCTTCTTTATATCATACAAATACCTCAAGAATAATAATCTAAATATAAATTCATTAGTTTATCAAACCTGTTCACACTCCTTCATCCCCATTGCCTACTTCATGTTAAGCATCTCTAAAAGCCATTACTACAATAAAGTAGTTCAGAGATTTTGACTATGTCTATCTATAGCAGTAGAGTTAAAGCATGTGTATTTTGAATAAATTTCCTAAGGTTATTGTAGCTGATTAAGACTATGACAGATTAATAGATCTCTATCCATATCCTCCTTAGCCCATCCCTTAAAAACTATTACCCATGTAAACTTTCCCAAATCAAGTCTGGTTTTATTCTTATATTAACTTAACACCCATTTATAGCAGCAAGTGATATCATGCACAAGTTAGAGTCTAAATCTTTGAGTATTATATATAAGGCTTTTCATGACTTAGAAGCCATCATCCTTCTATTCTGCAATTTCATCTATTTCATATTCAATGAATACAGAGCTACTAATAGTTCCTCCAATATAAAATGTTACTTTATACTTCCATGCCTTTGTGTATGCTGGCACTACTCCCTACCATGCTAGTCCAGTCCCCACTGACATGAAACCTTTCATATTTTAAAATGTAGTTCAAATATCATTTTATAAAGCTGTTTCTGTGCCATCTCATAAATGTGTTATAATCTATTACTACACTTACACGAAAATGTATTTTTGTGTGTGCATACAGTCACCTGAAAATATCAATGATGACATATTATACACCTATTATACTAGGTCCTAATTATTAAATGGTGAACAAAAAAAGTTAAAGTCTGTGTGGTATGAAACTTAAAGACTTTTGCATAAATAAGCAAAAACACTAGTTGATAATTACAAACTATAATATGAAGTTACAAAATGAAGTTATGAAGAAAACAATCCTATCCAAAGGAAAATACTTCAGAAAGAAATCATTTACAAAATTTTATTTGTGTTAAACCTAAAGGAAGAATATCAGTGGTAATTCATGGAAAGAGAAAGAAAAGCATTTTAACAAAAAAAATGAAGGTTCTCATGTACAAACGAAGGGCATGATGAATTCAGAAACTAAATGAGAAATGAGAAGGGAAAAGAAGTTGAAGTTAGAGAGGCACAAAATAATTGATTTGTAAGGAATTTGCATTGTATTTATTTCAATAATAGGAAGCAATCAGAAGACAGAACAGCAAAATGAACATGATGATCCAATATACATTTGGGGACTCGGTGGAGGAACTGATTTGATTATAAAGAAAAAAGAACAGTGATAGGAGTAGAAGTAGCAAATTAATTAGTAGGCCATAGCAAAAAATTTCAGAAAAAAACTATCTAGGACAAGAGTGCTGAAAGTAGAAATGGAAAACAGTAGGTTTAAGACTCCTGAAATATTTGAGAGTTAGAATCAACAATACCTAGTAACAAATTAGATGTTGGAAGTAAGTGAAGACAAGGACATTGAAAAAATGATTGTAATCCTTCTACATTATATGCAAAGTAAATGGCCATACTTTTTGAATTTACTGAAATGGAATACATTTCTATTCTAGGTTTATATTCCTTAAGGACAGACAGAACTGGCAAAATAGTTGTAATGTAAAAATCACTCAATATATATTTGTTGCATATTGATACAAATAAGTGAAACAAATTAACAAACCCAAAGCAAACAATTATAATGAAAATCAGAAGAAAATTCATACCTAACTGGAGTCTGTGGGAGAATCATGTTTAGCTCTTCATCAGGGTTACTTTTTCTTGGCGTTCTCTGAATTTCAAAGCTAAATAATAAGCAAAATCCGGCAGAAAAATTATAATGTGTGCTACATGAATCAACAAAGAAGTACTATACCTTCTTCATTCTCACAAAATCATATTAAAATAGGCCAAGGAAGTTACAGCAGATGGAAGAATAGAAAAATAAGAGACCAGTATCATTATTTCAACAACTGTCTTTTAGTATACATCTTAAGAATTATATTCAGCTAACAGAAAGACAGCTAATACAAAGAACAATTCACACTCAACGTGAATATGCTTGTTAATAAATTATACACTTAGAATACTGTTAATTTTTCTTATAATTAGCTTTACAAATAATATTTGAATTTATTATAAATGATATTTCAAAGTCATTTATAATAAAATAATGTTTTAAAAGTTATGCTATATAAAAACCTAAATTTAAATCTACCTCTATCAAAATAAACTGACAGTAAAAGAACATTAACAAAAATATACTATGTACAATACCTGTCTATAGGATCAGCCTGAAGAGTTTTATCATGATCCAGAAATAATCTTGCATCTAGATCTTTACTTTTAAGGTAAATTTCTTCATATTGTTTAGAGAGACTTTCCACCTCAAAAAAAAGGGGGGGAGGGAAATTATCTTTTCATGCCATTGAACCTTTTAGAATGTACATGTACAAATTTGTTTAAAGAATTTTGTTAATTTTAAATTTACAATATGAAGAGTTTATATTCAATATTTATATTCAATGAAAAAAATTGCATATTTTTTCAACTCGATTTTCAACCTACTCTATGCTTATACCCTAATTCATTAGAATTTTATATAATGATTACCAATGTCACAAATACTGAGATGGAATTATAAGATTAAAAATAGGTATTACTACTAACCACTTAACTGAAACACCTCATATATCCCTTACTTTTACTATGCTAGGCTTACCAATGTAAAGTATTTTTCAAACAATGTACCAAATCCTCTAGATTTTATGTTATGCTTATCATAAATTCACTGGTTCATTCTACTACCCTTCAGTTAGTTAATGTGGACAAGCAAAGTAGCTCAATTTGCACAATTAACATAACACAGTATTTATTGCCAATGTTAAACAACTTTTCAATTATTATAATCTGTAATTTTTATAATAATTTATGATTCATAATCGTCTAATCATAACTTCAAACCAATGCCAAATAGGTAGCTAATAGGTAGCTATTTGGCATACCTTCTAGTTCAATTTATAAAGTGCTTTTAACCTGAGGGAACTAACGCTTCATTCTAAGGGGAAAAATCCATTTAAATGTAAACTTTTTGTCTCTGTAAGTTTATTGAGCAGAATAATCTTTCATATTTAAATTTAATATGTCACTGCCCTTTTTTAGAGAGACATTAGTATCAAACACAGAATCATCAATCTAACTACCTAATCATTTTGTTGTTTTGACTATTTCTAGGTGTTGTATAACACCATTTTTATCACTACATATTTGCTCTTTTTATCATTTATGTAAGCATCTTCTTTATACATTTTACCTTATCACATAAAAGCTGCTGTGTTCTCACAGAAAAGGCAAGGTACTTGAGGCAAAAATGTGAGGCAAAGAGACAGGTGGCTGACACCAACCAATGTAAAACATTTCTACAGCACAACTGGTAGTAATTTCAACCAAATTTATTTTCAATTAAGCAGTTTTTAAAAATACTGGAAAGAGATGTTCCAAAATACAGTAATATCAATAATGTTGATAGTATTAAATATGGAGCTATGCTTAAGAAGATGCACAACAAAGCAAATCATAATCAAATTTGAAAGTTCACATTTAGTTATATTTAAATATTTAATGGCATTAGAAAATCAAAAGCCTACATTTTAATTTTTGAAAGATTTTAGTACAATCAATTAAAATGATGCTTATTTACACATTTGAGTATATGATATTCAAGAGGAATTTTTTGTTGCTATATAAAGTTGGTTCATCACAATTCAATTAAGATTTCTTTTCTAGGGAAAAAAACATTTAATATTCAGGAATGTAATCTTAGTAAATTTAAACAACTTGCCCTCCTTCCTGAAAGCCCTTAAACATTAACTTTTAATTAATTTTTCTTTCAGATTACCTCTGGAAGTCCATTGGAAGTTACAATTCCAAGAGAATTCATAAAAGGTATAAAATTTTTGAAATAAACATTTTTCACCTGTAAAAGATAGTTTTAAAAGACCATTAAGTTTTTTTAAAAAAAATCTGTCTTAATACTAAAATGAAAATATTAACTGGCATTTTAAACAATTACTTAAATTAAATTTATAATAAACTCAATTATTTTTAAGTGAGACATTTTAGGCTCTAAAATGAAGATGGAGTTACTAATTAAATGGGATGCATGGCAAGAAAACATGTTGATAGCAAATTCAATTTTCCACATTTAACAAATGATAAAAGTGATGAGCAACTAAAAATATTAAGCAACCTGATTAAAGTTGTAATTAGGAAATGGCAAAACTGGAAATAAAACCCAACATATCTACTGCCAAAGCACTCTACATTGTCTTTGTTTTCTCCCCAAATTTTAGCTTTAGGTTATTTCACACGTCATTTGAAGCATGCTTAAAGAATATCAACTCAATTTTTTACCATAAATTTAGAAAAGCAACATATTTTTATATGAAAATAAATTCACACACAAAAATAGCACTCAAAACTAAATGAAAAAATGAGCAATGCAGTTTCATGAAAAAACATTTCATTTCATATTTAACTTGTATAATAAAGACTATGCTCACAAAATCTACAGTTTAAACAACTTACTTTTCTTCATTCAATTTTCTATTCCAAATTTAGGGTCCACATTTATTAAGGTGGAAATAATTTAATATCAGTTTCTATATTCTATATCACGAATAAATCACCAAAATGAATCTTTTTGAATACTTACTAGATTTGCCTACTAATTAACTCCCATTTACCTAGGATATTTATGTTAGGTGAGTAGTTCTGACCAACCAATTAATATGATTAATAACTATACAATCATAAAAAAAATCTAGCCAACAGTTAAAAAATCCAAAATTATATGCAGATAATCAGTGTCAATTTCAACTACCAAAGTTTAGTCAACTATACTTTTAAAAACATTACTACAAAAACTCTAAATATAAAAAAATTATCTGAAATGAGAAGTAATTGAATAACTTATTTCTGATTTTAAAAATGAAATTTTACAAGTATTTCTAAAATCTAGAAATTAACCAAGAGTTAGAAACTTGCTTTTCTTCCTATTCACTACATTGGATTAAGTAACAAAGTGTAATAAAGAAAATATTTCAAATACATTCATCATTATTAGCAAAAATGATTTTGATTCTAGCACAGTAAACATATATTTACAATACTGACACATCTCTATCTATCTCTATGTCCACATATTTATTGAAATTAACAAAACCCAGAGTGCTAAAACCCAGATATCTTAACAAATCTTTTCTAAAACTTCTTAAGCTAGATTTTAAAATTGTAACCCATTTCAGTCCCCCAGATGACAGAGAAATTTCAAGGATGTAGCATTGTATAGGTCTGGTGGTAATGAACTGGGAAAAATGAAAATCTGTAAAATCTATTATGATATAATGAAAGTAGCACTGATAGCAAATGTCTCAATGTCCAGACTCTTGTTAGTGGTCACTTATCAATCTCTTTAATGAGTAAGCTTGCTTACTCATTAAAAGAAGGCTGAGCACATTATTTGTAAGATTCCTTCAATTTCTAACATCCTAAATTTTATGAAAATGATAAGCAACTCTTGTGTGTTCAGGTGTATTCTGTACCAGCCATTAATACCTAGTGTAATATTTAGAAAGAGAGCAATTACAGAAATGCTAAATAGAATTTTAATGTAGGGGCCTCCCTGGTGGTGCAAGGGTTTAAGATGCAGCACTATGAAGCTATCCACAGCCACTGCAGCATGAGTTTGATCTGTCCAGGCAGTGATCTACATGATGCAGCAGACCTCTCCTGTCTCATCCTCTTCTCTCCTCAGTAGTGTATTTTAGTAGATCTGCCTGTTCTGCTACCCACTCTGTGTCTGGTGAATCCTCTTACCCCCTGAGTCTCCTGCCTACACCCCAGCTCTTACATGTACTAATAAATAAATCTTTTTAAAAAGAGAATTTTAATGTACACATCAATAAACAAAAACACTAGTTTTCTTAGCAAATTACTTTAAAACATCAGGGACATCAGTAACCACAGACAAACTGACAAATTTATTTGAAAACTACTCTCTTAAAGTATATTTCAGTGATTTTCAGAGTAAGAAAGCTACTCTGTTTAAAATCAAAGTAACTGAAAATGAAATTAATTTTTTCTAAACATTTTGCTACTATACGAGTTAGCACAAATGAAAGAACAAGTTGTTATAAAAAAATATAGAGACTGTTACACTGAATTTAACTATTTTAAGGAAATTATGAAGTTAAATTACCTCATCTATGTTACATTCATGTTCTTTACAGAGAACTTCAATAATTCTTGTATCATTTTCTAGTTGTTTTGCTATCCGTGCACTCCTGTTCTGACCTCGTCTTGGAGTTCGAGGTGAACCATTAATAGGTATTACAGCTGTTTCTGTTAAAATGGTAAATTAGATAAGAACAAAAGTATATTTCACTATATAAAATAATGAATTCTAAGTTGAAAGCTCAAACAATCTTGATAAAAATTCAGCCATTTTTACATATAAGGTTTCATTAAAAGACTAACGGTTTTATCTATTTATTGAATATCAATTATAAGTTATGTACTGAAAAGTTTTTGCCAGCCCTATTCTCTTCTATCCCTAACTAGTCCTCAAAAATATAAAATACTTAAAGCTCCTAGCCAAAAAGAAACAAGGCAAGGCAAGCAGTCAGGTTACCAACTAATTATATGTGTAGTCTACTCAATCTGCAAGGGGAAAACATTTCTGTATTAACCATTTTTAAAAATAACAAGCAAATATTTATGAATTCAATTACTAGATATAGTACAAAAATAAAATACTAAGGTTTTGGCATATAGCATATATTATGATGCCTTTAAAAGACATGTAAATAAATGATAGTGTTATAATCAACCATGACTTAAAATCAGTGTTTTGGTATATTTTGAGTAATGCCAACTGTGAGCTGAATATGGACTCAACTATTAAAGAGATTACAGATTTACAATATAAAAAGCTTTTAGGCTTGAATCAACAGTTTACAAGTCACTGAAGAACCTGTCAAACTATATCACATGATATAACTGGTAAAATTAAACCAAGGAAACTCAACATGACAAACCACCTGATTCTTTAAATAAATAAAGTTCAAGAAAAAAATCGGTAAAACTTTTTAAAAAGGCATAGAATCATATCTACCAATCACAAAGTATAGAGATTATTGAATTCTGATTTAGTCAACCTGTAAAAAAAATTTTAATTCTTTTTATAAGACTATTGAATGTACGAACACAGAGAATGTTTGGTGGTATTAAGGAATCACTACTCATTCATTTTTTGGTGTAATAATGGTACTGTATCATATATTTTTTAAAGTCTTTATCTTTTCAAGGTAGATACTGAAATTTATAAGGATAAAATGGTATGCAAAGATGTACTTCAAAATAATAGAAATGGTGTAACTGGGCAGTAAATGGGCTACATGTTGACTATAAATTATCTGTTGATTCTAGGTAATAAGTAAGTTAAGACTTATTATACTACTTTCAGATTCACCTGAAATTCCCCACAATAAAAAGCTAATTAAAAGTTACCATAGTCAATTAACAAGTCAATTAACTCCACACTTAATATACTGTTTAACATAATACTTAGAGAATTATGTACATTAAAATTATCTAAAAGAACAAAGCCTGTCACCTTAAGTAACATTCTACATCAACTTATAAAGTTATTACATTGAAGAAAGATGGGAAAGAATATAAAGGAAAGTTTTTTAAAGGTTCAGAAAACTCTGTCATATGTTTATTGCTTTCTATAATTTTCCCTCTATTTGGAATGTGGTTTTTTCTAAGACAAGCTGCTTTCTCTGACAAATCATGCTCAACAAACTTCAAAATTTTGCAGCCACTTTAACAGTCCTTTGAAATTTTCATTCAGAATTAATTTAGCAATAGTAATTTTTATTTAAGTACACTTTGTATCTCTAACCCATAAAATAGGTCAATGACAGTTCACTACACACAAAAGTCACATAACTGGCCCTCCCTGGCGGCGCAGCGGGTTAAAGCACTGCACTGAGAAGCTAAAGCCACCTCCGCATGAGTTCGATTCCCGCCTGCCCTGGAGGTGACCACATGGCGTGGCAGACCTCTGCTGGCCCGCCCGCTGCTCCCCTCAGCAGTGTACTTCGTCTGATCTGCCTGTTCTGCTCCCACTCTGTCTCTGGTGAAGCCTCTCACCGCCCCTGAGTATCTGGCCTGTACCCCAGTTCTGTATGTACAAATAAAATAAATCTTTAAAAAAAAAAAAAAGTCACATAACAACTACAGCATAATAAAAACTTAAGACCACTGCCCCTTGCAGTTTCATTCATACCTGTGCCTTGCCTCTTGATTTGCGTTTTAATGGGAATGCTTTCCCTTCATTTCCCTTAACACTCAAAACCTACTTACTCTTCAAAGTTCAACTCAAATGTCACCTTTTATGTGATCTCTTCCTTGTAATCCAGCTGGAAACTTTCCATCTTCTGAATTCCCATGTATTTTATCCTATACCATGTATTATAATTACTTATTTCCTTGTCTAACCTCTCTGCCCATACCTTATGTTACCAGAAGGTAGAGTCCAAGTCTGATTTATTATTATCTCTTCAGTTCTAGCATCATGTTTTGGATATAACCACCACTCAATAAACAACTACGTAATAATAAGGAAGAAAGGGCATAAATTATTTTAAATACTTACTATATGGTTCTTTGAGCAATGCAGGAGGTGAGAGTTTGATAAAATAGTCAAGGACACATAGCATTAACTGAAACGATATCACCAGATCATCTTCCATTTGAAGTACTTTCCCTATATATATATATTAAAAAAAAAAGGTTTCATATTTTTTAAGTTTCACACAGATCTCTAACTCAGACAAATTATGGGGATAGGCATATGAGTATATATAGGTAGATTTATACTCATTTATTCAACAACCATTACAGAGCTATTAAAGATATTGGGAATAAAAATTCAAGTCAGATTTGAAATATGTAAACACATACAGAAAATTATATAAAGCTATGAAATTTAAGTCTATTCTGAAAATTTACACTTGCATATTATAATCACAATTCAGTCCCAATATATAATTCCTTCTGGTTTTTGATTTTTTAGACTTACTTCCAATTTTGGTAAAAGCCACAGAATTTATTACTTTTGAAAATAATTTTGACATATGTCCCATGCTAATCTTAAATTCTATTTCATTATGAAATCCCATATATTTTCAATTTTAATTCCATTCTAAAATATTACAATAACCAAGACCACAAAATATATAGTGGTAAAATAATAAAATTGGTATATAATTATAAAGTCATTTATAAAGCATTTAGATTGAATTCTTCAAAGTCAATAAAATAAATATACAATTAGAAAACTGTAAGAAATATATAACTTAGAGAAAAAGTAATATAATTATACAAAATATACAAACCATGATCAAATAACATATTTGCTATGGCTCTACTATGCTTTCTTTTAAAACCCACTTTCTACCACATGAATATCTAAGTGTTCATTAGATAACTAATAATAATCTCAATAAATAGGGAAGGTATAGAAACTAATGAGAAAATAGATAACCCATGAACCAGGTAAATTTCTAAGATCCATAGGTAAGACAAATAACATGTTTATAATACACTAAAATATATCACAGAGGTAAAGAATAGTATCAAGAAGTTTAAGTAAAAAACAGAAGAGTAAAGTCATATCAAAGAAATTCTCCCTTCTAAATACCTAATAAAATGAAAGAAAAAAATGTGCTGGGTAAGTGTTAGCACCAAATCCAAATTTGAGATATTGACACAGAGGGTATGCTTATTTTTAATTCTTCATATTCAACAGGAGTAGAAACTGTTGATGGAGAAGGGTAAAGGAGGAAGTAAACAATTACAGCTCATTTTCTGACACATTGAGACTAGAGTATATTGTGCTGAATACTACTAAGAAAATAAGATATAACAGGATAAAAGTATTCTGTTTAGGCCTTCCTTGGTGGCACAATGGATTAAAGCATGGCACCTCTCCTGACCCACTTGCTGCTCCCCTCAGCAGTGTATTTCAGTATATCTGCCTGTTCTTCTCCCCAGTCTGACTCTGGCAAATCTTCTCACCCCCTGCACCTGTGGCCAGTACTCCAGTTCTGTATGTATAAATAAATAAATCTTTTTTTAAAAAGTATTCTGTTTAGAATTAATTCGCATAAAAATATGAGGACAAAAACTTGTACCCTTCCAATAAACTCTCCATATTCTTCCTCACCCTCTAACAAAAAGGTAACATTACAAAAGGCCTGTTTTCATACTGTAATTCTTTGGGGCATACAACTAGTCACAGGTACAGTGCAAATAAGGGAGATTCAGCAACACTACCCCAGAGAAAACAGAACATTAGGTAAAACTGCCCATATAATGTTGTGTAACATGGGGGGAGAGGGGGAAGCACAGTTATTATGCATATAATTATATAGGGGAAAAAAATAGATCACAACAAAAGAAGGGTGAGAAAGCAGAAAGAATTTAGAAGAATATCTAATGAAGAAAATACCCTATCAATATTTGCATTAAGAATTTTAAAAACACAAATTATATAAAAACAGGAAACTAGAAATATTAAGAAAAAAACTGAAACCCAGTATCAACATTACATTGTTTAGCTCAAGTAGAAGATAAACAATAGTCAATATGTAAGAAAAAAACAAATGATTAGAACGACATGATAAAAACTAATATATATGGAGGATAAAAACAACCCAATATGAAATAGTTGACATTCCCAAGTCAGATCAGAGTAATATTATACCTAATGGAATAGAATGATACTAAATATGGGCTATGTTAAGATTTATCTGAAAAGAAGACACTTCTGTTTAAAAAGAGACAGTGTTCCCTTCTCATTTCTTACACAATATCAAAAATCAAGAGATGTCCTGATAGAGATACTGAACCACAGGAGGGGGAAAAAATGTACAATTTTTTAAAAAGCAAATAAGGATGCCCTCAGATTTTTCAATAGAAATACTCAGTGCCAAATAATAGTGTCATAAGAACACCATCCAAGAACAGGATTCAAGGCTAAACTGTTCTTCAAGTACAAAAGCTATGAGTATGACTCATAAAAACATGCCAAACTAGGAAAAACGGTTATAAAAAGCCTTCTTTGAAAAATTCTTTCATGGTAAAATCTAGCCAGGTAAGGATAAATCAAAGAAGTAGCAAAGCTATGATACAAGAACGATAATAAACTCAAACCATTAATATATAGGAATGATAGCAAACAAGTTATATATTTTAAATATATAATTATAGAACAGAATGTAAATGCCATAACCCTGACTACATAATAGTAACAAGCAAGTAAAAGTGATTAATAGGGAGGTAAGAGGAAAAATTAGAACACTAACATTATTTTTCTTCAAAGCACATTAACATAAACCACTTTAAATTAAAAAAAAAATAAAGATTCTAAATTCTTGTTTTTCATGTCAGAGAAATAATTTTAGGAAATAATATAGCTTAAGTTACAAAATAGTTTGCTAAATTTCAAACAGTTATTTTCTTCTGCAAAATCTGAGTAAAATATTTATATTTTAAATGTACCAGTAGAGGCTCTCCCTGGTGGCACAGCAGGTTAAAGCACAACACTAAGAAACTAAAGCCACTTCAACATGAGTTTGATCCCAGCCCAGGAGGTGAACACATGTTGTGGCAGACCTCTCCTGACCCGCCCTGCTGCTTCCCTCAGCAGTGTTCTTCATTGATCTGCCTGCTCTGCTCCCCACTCTGTCTCTGGTGAAGCCTCTCACTGCCCCTGCACCTCTGG